GAGACTTTGTATCTAATTAAACTTTAATTCCTAAATTTTCTTTGCATGCATATCACATAGTTGCACATGCATATCATATAGTTGCATTCTTGCATTGGGATTTTGTGGGTAGATCCATTGAAAACCCTCACGAGACACAACTCGTCCACTAGGGTGACTTAGGGGTTTAAAGGCTTGGTGCACATATTAAGTGCAATCGTGATTTCTACGAAAGTGAGTTAGGTTTTATTTTGGTTTCTTTTGTTTTTTTTTTTTATTTTACTCAAGGATGAGTAAAACTTAAGTTTGTGGGAATTTGATAAGTTGAATTTTTATACATATTAATGCGGAATTGTTGCCTTGATGTTATTGATATTTGGATGAGTTTTATGAGATTTTACTGAGTTTTAAATGGTTTTCATTCTTTGCGGAGAAAAGGACTTGAATGCATAAAAGAAGAGTTTTGAGATTAATTGAATATCCTTTGAAAGTTGAGGGACTGAATTGCAAGAAGAAGGGGTTTTTTTTGGGACCTTAATGAATAAATCTTGAGTTTTGGGATCTAAGTGCTCATTGTACAAAAGCTGGAGGACAGATCTATCATTTTATCATTGAAGAAATTGCAAAAGGAGGTCAGAAACTCGACGCGAGTGTAGTGTCGACATATAAGTGGGATGTCGACACCATGCATGAATCGTCCAGAATCCAACTTTCTGTTTTCTGTTTTGTCGACACGTAATTTGGAGTGTCAGCACCAGGCGTTCCGCGTCCAATATTCGAGTTTCCTATTCTGTTTCAAATCATACTTTTATTCTAATTAAGGTTTCTAAAACCTTATAAATACCCATCCAAATTCAGAATTAAGGGAGCTGGTGGAGGTTGGTGGCAGCCCTCTTTTGGGTACTCTTGAAGATCAAGATCGAAGATCCATCAACAATAGAAAATCAAAAAGTTCAATTTTCTCAAATTGAGTTTTGTTTTTCCTTAGATTCTTTTTATCTATTATTTGATATTTAAATGTTCATAACTGTGATTTCAAATTTTATTATTTTTATTATGAACTAATTTATATTATTAGGGCTACGATGTAACCTAATCAATTCAATATAAATTTTGTGATTTTATGCTTTCAATTAAAGTTATTTGCATGAGGAGTTTATATTATTGAACTTAATGCATTGGAAGCATGATTACCTTTCGATTGATTTAGTGATTTATGCATGAACTTGAGAAAGAATTACGTAAATTAGACCAATAATAATATAAACCGTGTGCTAGACTATGAGACCGAGAGATAATTAACTGACATGTGGTAGTGGAGGAAGAGAAGAGAGTTAGGAACTCCCCCTTCTGAAGCTAGAGGTTTCCATAGAATTTAATGCTCATTAATTTGTTTAAAGTTACATAGAGATATGATTAATTTAACAAACCAGTAAATGATTAACTTGATTTGAAAAAGCTGATTAGTTAATTTAGGGAAATCCGCCATCACATACAATAACACTCAACAATTTGATAATCCAAAATTTAGATTAATTGATTATGGTGAAGTCAATGCCTTAGCACCTTATATCTTGATTAACTTTATTTTAATTGTTATTTTCTTTTTATTCTTCATTAAAGTTTATTCCTCTTCTTAATTGTTCAAATAAATTTAGACTAATTATTTTGGTACTTAATTAGACATAATCCTTGTGGGTTCGACACTCTTCTTATCATTATATTACTTGGAGCGACTAGTACATTTGTTAGGGTGATTTTAGTGCATCACATATAAATTACTAATATATACAGAGAAAGTGAATACAAGTGTAAGGTAAAAAATATGTATAATGATAGAATATGAGAAGCAAGATAAGAGATAAAACCCAAAAAAAATTTAAAAAGTAGATTAAGTAAGTGAAAATGTATTGAGATAATATTGTTAAGAAGCTATCTTTGAATTTTATGTTTTGATATAAAATATTTCCAATATAGAGAAAGAGAAAGAAAAAATATTTGGGCTTAAAAAAGATATAAATAATTATATATTGAGATGCAAAGAATGACAAAGAAATAATAATAGAAATGGAATGATAATGGGAGAAATAATAATAAAAACAAATAAAATACTAATAAAAAGTGAGAATTACTAATATAGGGAAAAGATGACAAAAGTATGACATAGAGATAAATATAATGATAAATTGTGATAAGGAATTAAGAGATTGAGTTACAAAAAAGACAAATAAAAAATGGAGTAAATGTAAGTAAAAAAAAGTATCAAAGAACAGTAATAATAATAAGCTAAGAATTCTATATTTTGACTTTAAAATTTCTAATATAGATAGTAAGAAAGAGAGGGAAAAAATAGGGTTGAAACAAAGAGATATATAATGATGATAACAATGCTAGTAATGACTAAAGAAAAAAAGAGAAGGGATGATAATGGGAGAAAGAATAAGAAAAAAATAAATCACTAATCTATAGGGTAGAGAGATAAATATATAGATAAAATATTGAGTGAGAAGCCAAGACATTTAGTTGCAAGAAAAGTTATTAATAAGAGAAGTGAAGTAAATGTAAGTGAAAAAGAATTAGAAATTTATCTTTTATGTTTTAGTCAAAAACATTTCTAACATAAACAATTGATAAAAGGGGAAATTAGAGTAAAACAAAATATATAATAGTAAATGAGATGCAACAAGTAGTGTTGTAAAAAGCATGCTTAGGTGGCGCCTAGGTTCTAGGTGGTGCCATTCTGCCCATATCATCCTAGACTCTAGGCGATGTCATCTCACCTGCAAAAATTCAATGCGGTTTACACCACCCAGATCAATTAAGCACGTCTAAGCACTATTAGGTGTGTTTAATGGCACCAAAAGCGCTTGAGCAAATGCTTTTTATTAATTTTTTAATCTAATGAAATGATGTCGTTTAATTTATTATAAAATTTATATTAAAAAAAACATTAAATGC